ATGTACAGGAAAAGTATTTGATACCTGAATCATTTATGGAGGTGGAAGGTTCTCTTTTTTTGGAGGTGTTTAAGAAAAGAATTCATAGAACTTGGCAATGATGCCTTAACTAGGTTCCTTGCACTGAACAGAAGTTGGCCTCAACAGCCTTTCCAATTCTATGATTCTAGGTAGCAGAAAATGGAAATAACCTCCTGCTACTGCTGCTTAAACAATCTTGGGCTAGATAAACTAATCTGATCTGTTCAGATATAAAACATATTCTATTATATGCAGGCTCGATGTCAACCACGGGGAAGAAGCTGGCATACATTTGGGCTGTCTTTGAGAATTTCACCTATCAGCATCAGTTTGAACATCTACACATGAGTAGGTTGGTATTAGCTGGAAAATGCAGGAGGAATCACATACTCACAAGAAAATTTTGGAGATCTTCCAACAGCTATCTTTATAAATAATCAGCTGGGATTAAAAGGGCACTTTTGAATGCACAGTGAATGGAATACATGAAACAAGCAAAAATGCACCCATCAGTCTAGTTTTATTATGCCTATCAAATAAAGAAATCAAATGTATAAGAAATAAATCTGTAATGGAAAAGAATACAGTGATATCAAAGGAGATTATATTATCTGAATCATAAAATTGACAGCAGCATCTCACCATATCAAGATCGGGAAGAGGAACTGAGAATTATCTCCATGGGATGACTTACTTTGGCTGTAGATAAGATAAATTATTTTTAGTCTACTGATTTGCCTTAACCATTTTTCATTCTCAAATACTGAAATATATCCTTATTGTTCAAACCTATATTTGAGGAGATGTGCTCAAGAAGCAGGAACTACCGATTCCTTCTCTTTCTCACTGCTACGTACAGACAGGAATGGAAAGACTGTATCAATCTAAGAGCAAAGAATGGACAAGAGGTATGACTGGATTTTTCTCTCCATAAGTACTCTTTGGGTGATTCCTTTGTATATCCCAATGTAAGCTGCACTTTATATGTTTTGATCACTTTTTATTCTGGCTTTATTTTTAGCCAATGTTTCATACACTGCTTGATTAGCAGGCTGCTGTCTACGTTACGTTTTCATTTCCTGTATTTCTTGCAAGTCACATCTTTGTATTCATTATTTATCAAAAGGCAGGTGCCCAGCAAGCAAAATCAGAGATGACAGACAAGGACTTGCTGCCCGTAACAATCCTGACAGAATATTCCTCTCAGGGAATGATACTGCTGCCTTACTTTTTAAATAAATCAACCAAATTAATAATTCAGCACAAGCAATATATCGAACTATAAATCAGCAATAGCAGAGATATACATGCAGATCTTTACGTTGACTTAAGTTTTTACTGTATATCAAACACACCCATAAGCATTCACTTCTGATAGGTGCGATTATTATCTCTGCATCTGTGAGAACTTACAAAATGAACACTGCTTGTGCTAAGAGCAAAAAGAGGCAGAAACATGTTTTCCCCTACCCTGCTGCGGCTACCCTAAAGCAGTGTGCCTGTAGGTCAGTGTTGTCCAAACTTGACCACTTTAAGGTGAGTGGACTTCAACTCCCAGAATTCTGGGA